TTTAGGAAAAGGAAAAGGAAGAGCTATCCACCTATGACAGATGAAGAAACTTTATTTTTAAAACAATATTACCATAAATATAATGTAGCTCTATCTAAACTATTTGAAAGATTACATATAACAGCTCCATCTTGGTTAGAAGAAATTTACGAGATGAAGAGGTGAGTATGGTATTAAACCAGGCATTGTCTAACTTTAGTTTCTTATTCAAACTTGCAGTTGTAATATATTGTAAACATATTAGTAATTTGAACGTTATTACTAAAAGAACAACTCTTGCACTTATAACAAGTTAACAGATCTTATATAATGTAACTTTCTAGATATCGCATGTGTATCAGGTGTTTGATGAAGTCACTAAGCGCAAAAATGCTTTATCACATAAAGCCTTTCGCAATTAGTGGACGTCATCTGACTGAAAATTGGAATGGTGCGAATGTAATGTGTCCCCGATACAAATAAATAATGTAGAAAAAACTTTTTACACATGGTGGTATTATGTGGAATGTCTTTCATGTCAAATTTCATACACAATTAATAACATGCTAAATTTATACATATAGTTTTTAATATACCTTTATTTCCCTTCTATATAGGTATAATGAATAATGATGTCATGAAGAGTGCTATTTTAGACTTCCTACTCAACTATCATCTTATAATAAAAAGAATCTCATCATAGTGCTTCATGTCTGTATTTTATTGTTTTAAGTGCATTTTTTTTATGTTTTTTGATAATCAAAAATACAAAATCAATCCATATTTTTCTCAGGTCTATTATAATTATCATCTTTAGTTTTATTCATTAACAGCTTAATATGATTTGTTTTGCTGCTACTCATATAGACATATACTGAACCTATGAAGATGCTTGATAAGTAAGCTTACACATTACATTGATTTTTAACAAAAATACATCTTCTTAGTAAATATATTATCCTTTAGATTGATGTTCAGTAACAATTTGAATTTGACCAAAAGCTAACAGCAGTGTATTGTCTTGTTAGTTATTGTTATATTACTTATTGTTATTTTCAAGTTTGTGAACAATATGATTATAACCTTGTTTTTTAGTCTGTCAACATATCTTTTGCGTTTTTATATATTTTATATGGTAAATGATCCTACTTAATAAATACTTATCAATGGCTGTGTCAAAAATCAGTGTCACTGATAAGAATCTTTGGAATTACTAAACAATTTCTAGAAACAGTTGGCAATACAGAAATGTTTCTAAAGTTTATTTTAAAAATCTTTAGAGAAATTGTAAAGCATATCAGTCTTCCATTTTATAATACTCTTTATTTATCATTTCATCTTTCATACTATCATTGTTTTAGTGAATAATTGTAGTGTGAAGTAACTAGAGGGGGGAGTAAGGGATTAAATGATTCTATGTGAACTAATATGATATACAGGGTAAAAATATAACATACCATAATATATTTCTTAATATTGTTCTTGTAGAAATGAACTGACTACAGTTTGAGCTCATTGTGACATTGTGTTACAAATGCTGGACATTTTTCAAATTCCTGTGTAACTGTGGGAAGCTGAAACTTGGGTCTATTAATTTGGTTATAAATTATGGTTTAATTTCAAGAGTTTATACTATTACTCAAAAAAAATCCAACAACCCTTCTGACATTACATTTATGGGAAGATAATGTGAGAAATTGAACTAGGATTTTATTATGTTATAATATGTGTGTTGTCTAGGTTTATATTCCTTTTGGTTATAAATAATGTACTATTGTCAATTTCCTGCCTCCTTTGTAGTTTTTAAATCCATTAAAATTGGCCCGTGTGTGATTTCAGAAATCTTCATTGTCTTTATTTATGTGCTAAATTATCTTGGAAGATATCAGTCTCATTATATATTATATTGAGATTATAGTGTGTATTGAAAACATTCTGATTCATAGATTAGCTGTATATTTTTATAGTGAAAATAAATTATAGAATATGAATTGTGGTATTAAATAAACCAGTATGGTGATGGTACAGTCCCTTTCTTCCATAAGCGGATCATAAACTCAGTAGTTATCACAAAGTATCCTTGAGAGTAAACTTGATTCCACAGCTAATGGACTAATAAACCAACACTATTGAGACCTATACAGCACAAGGTCACTCTAAGCTTCAAACTAACCTTATAGCCCAGGGTTGAATCTTCCAAATTTTGCCCAGGTTTCCCTCAGGTCAGAGCCTCACATGGAAAAAGCATCTAGTCTGAGACAATAAACTCAGGTCCTATGTACAACAAGCAAAGACCTCTTGACAGTTTGAAATGAAAAATAAAGCTAATACTGCTGCCTGGCAAAATTTCCTTCATTGCACACTACATGGTGTTACCCATCCTCATAAGCTTATACAGGTCAATTTTATTTCCCAATGTCACAGGATGAAAGCATATTCGAAGCATGAATTTAAAACATACAAGAGCAGTGTTGAATTCTGTAATTGATAAGACATAAATAAGAAGTTAATGTAATTACAGAGTTTTTGAGCTTTCACAATCTCTCATACAGCACTCACAAACTCTTTATAAAGTTAATTTATTGTCGTGGTATTCCTTATCAAACAAATGCTTTGGTTTCAAACTGCTTTTCTTAATAATACACATCTTGGACATCATAAGTACAACTGATTGAGATATCTGCTATGAAACTAAATATCATTGACATGAAAGGATTAGATCACAACTGAAAAGTAATCTGTTGATAATTATGATGCCCGAATGACCATCATTTGACAGTCAGAACGTATTTGTTACTGTTATTTTAACTAAGGTTAACTAATTCTACTAGAAATTATATGCCCTGTATGAAACTTGTCAAAAAAAATATTCTAAAGCTGAAGCGTAATACTGGTATGTCTATTACCAAATCTAAATCATAAAATTGACATTGTCATAAAGAACAATATAACTACCTATGTTGACTAATCTTAGATGTAATCTCTAATAGTAAATAAACTAATTAGTAAGCCTACTTTATACTTTCACATAAATATCTGCTGCCATAGTTAAAACTGTAAAATATAATGTACAATTCACTAATATCAAGAAATATAAACTAAAATAAACCGGTTTAATTCAAATAAATGACTTTTGACTAATGTTATATTTTGATTCAACATTCATTGAAGTCAAATTTAAACACTATTACTAAATGTAAGTGTTGACTAGCTTAATTGTAAATTTGAAGACCAGGTTCTGTTAATGGTTGAAATAGGAGTAATAATATAAGATATGTTGTGCTTTTTGTTTTTGTGGAAAATTATCAGACACACTTCAACCTTCACACACCTCTTTCAGTGAACTGCAGAAGGTTCGCTGTGACATATTGTGTATTCTTGCATATGATAAGCCAGTCATATATTTCAATGTAGCTTAGATGTCTGCTTGAGGGAATTTTCAATTTATTTTGTAAGCTATAAAAAAAACACTTAGCTGACAAGTTCTACCGCTAAGCCTAACTGGGATATCCCAATTGAATTGGCCTACACTTATTTAATGAATCATGAAACTAAAAACTGCAAGAAGGGTGTTAGAGCTCATTACAGAAGATCAGAAACGTGTCATTGTCATGCCCATGAGTTTATATATTTTTGGCCTCTCAGACTTCACCCAGTTTCCCAAAATTGTATCAGTAATGAATAATTAAAAATTAATAGTCATTTCCACTGTGAAAGACTTTTTTAAGTTAGCTGCAGAAATCTTTCCTTGATCTGCATCCAGACCTTGCAGCACTGCTGGCAAAAGTCTTTCAAAGTTAGAATTAGAACTTTTCTGCCAGCCCTGGTCATTGATTTTGAAAACCTAGCANATCCTTCTGTTAGTATCAATACCATAGTTTGAGCTCTCCTCAATATTTAGTCTGGAATCAAGCCAGATAAACTTT